TGGGGCAGAAAAGAGCACAGAGCTTCCATGTCCTCTCCTCATAGAATCTAGGCAATCACTTTCCCAGGACAATCACAAGTTCACGAACTTAAAAACCTCCCCAAGCTTTGCAGTCAAGAGTTTTTATATTTCGTTATTTAGATACATGTCTGCACTCAATTTCCAGAACCCTTTCTGTCCCCAGAATGAAGTAAGTCAGAAGGCCCTCCCTGGTGGCACAACAGGTTAAAGCGCAGCACTATGAAGCAATCCACAGCCATTGCAGCATGAGTTCGATCCCCTGCCAGGGGGATGACCCCATGACACAGCAGACCTTTCCTGACCCAGCCGCTGCTCCCCTCAGCAGTATATTTCAGTCAGTGTGCCTGCCCTGTTCTGTGCTCTGCCTCTGGTGAATCCTCTCAACATTGCTGCACCACTGGCCTGTATCCCAGTTCTTGTATGTGTAAATAAATAAATGTAAATAAGTAAATAAATAAAAATTTAAAGACATAACTCCACTGAGAACCTCAGCTTTGCAGCTGGGTTCTCAATCAGCTGCAGGAGCTCATGATGGTTGGATGGCCATGGAGGCTGCCTCCTTTGAGTGACTCAGAGATAGAGAGCATTTCACTTGTCCATTAGTGTGAAATTTTGTGTTCTTCACAAAGACTGAGGCAAGCAAGTGGTATGAGAGATCTTAACCTCTTGATGTGTGGTGGTTTTTATATATTTTGAGAATAAAAATCACATAAAAGAATTTAAAGAGGGCCCTTCCTGGTGGCATAACAGATTAAAGAGCAGCACTACAAAGCTCTCTGAATCCACTGCAGCACTAGTTCGATTCCTGGCCAAGGAAGTGACCTATATGGCGTGGCAGATCTCTCTTGACCCGCCCACTGCTCCTCTCAGCATTATATTTCAGTACCATCTGCCCATTCTGCTCCCTGCTCTGTCTCTGGTGAATCCTCTCACTGCCTCCAAGCCCCGCACCTCTGGCCTATATCCCAGTTCTTGTATGCATAAATAAATAAATATTTTTTAAAAATTAAATATGCAACCCTGTCCTCTCTGATATCCAAAGCTTATGACAGATTACTACTATATAAGCAGACTAATTAAGTAAAAGAACATGGAAATAAAAGCATTTAAGAACCGACTTAATACCCTTTTATCCTAAAAGGATTTCTATCAATAATATATAATAAAAAGTCAGGAGTGGTGAGAACAAGAGTTTAAAATTTAGTTACTACTGTTTACAAACAATGCAATTTAAATGATATGTTCCTTCCCTTGTCCCCTCTCCTATAGCAATTACCCACAGGTGTAGAATCTTCTGAAAGCAGACAGACTATCCACACAGGAGACTAGAGGACATTGACATAATCATTCTGGAATTCTAGGTTTGATATTTGTAGACTTTCAAAACAAACATTTTCAAAGTTTTGTAAATGCTCTGCAGCCCAGAAATAATCCCTATTTTATTTTTTAAAGGTGCATTTGTTTATGCTTACACAATCTGGGATGCCATCCAGAGATGTGTAGGGGGGTATTTACCAAAGACAGAGTAGGAAATAGAACAGGCTTAACTACTGAAATACACTGCTGAGGGAGCAGCAGGGCAGGAGAGGTCTGCTGTGCCCTGTGGGTCACGCCCCTGGCAGGAAACTAAACTTGCGCTGCAGTGGCTGCCTATAGCTTCATAGTGCTCAGTCATAAGCTCCTGTGCCACCAAGAAGGACCCTTATTCTTATTTTAGAGTAACTTCTATCATAGTTAAGTTTTCTCTGCAATGCTAATAAAAGAAAATTTCCTGCAAACAGAATCAGGAAAAATGTTGATAATTGGAGCCCATCCGAGACTTCTGACATGTAGGTCAGGGTCAGAGAAATCAACACTGGTTGCAAAGTTGAGAGACAACACTGAGAGGTGGTGAAGCCAGATTTGCAAATATAGCATCCCACAATATATCAGAACTTGGCATTAACACAAGTGATTCTGACAATCAAGCCCAATTAAAGGTGGTCACATCCTATAAAACATGAACATGACTACTGAGAACAAAATTTTACTTTCACCAGCATCAAACATCTATATGTCCCGAGAACAGAGTGAAAGATCCAAGATTAGGTGATTAAGTCTATAAGTGCCTGCACAGGGCTGTACCATACATACAGAATTTCAAAATGGAGACATTTAAAGAAATACAAGGAACTTGTAGCAAGAGATCAGAAAGAAAAAGGAAGGCTGAGAGGGCAGCCTTGAAATCACATACAGCAAATCCTGAATAACATTTTCTTCAATGTTATTTCATGATAATATTGAAGATGATGTTATTAAAAAAAAAAAAAGGACTCAGCCTGCCCATCCTTGAGAAAAAATGACAATAATCAAGAATCTGATTTCATTAAATATTATTTTATTTGAAAGCTGTAGTCTCCAAGAACCTATCAATGTTAAATGAGTGAAGCTGTTAACAAGCAGAAATTTATACCCAATTACAAATATATTCAGCATAACTAGATTAAAAAGATAGGAAAAAGGATGAGTGACCATTATCTACTCTCTGAAGTAGCTGCAGTCTATCAAACCAAGTGGTTATAACCCAAAAGTTACCTCCTTTCCTATCCAACTACCTTACTAAATTCAGTTCAGTAGGATCAAAGGCTTAAGACAGAGTAGATTGCAAAGGGCTCAAAAAAGCAAAAATTAGTGTGTGTGTCTTCTCTTCATACACACTAAGGTGGAAAAAAGTGGGAAATACATATATGATCCCAAATGACAGAGGGACACCAACTCCCAAGTCAGGGAAGCCCAGATATGCCTCTAGCTCTCTTCTCTTACCTTAATTGCTATGTTGTTGGATTCGGTAGCACCACTAGTGAAAATAATTTCACGAGGGTCAGCTCCTATCAGAGATGCTACTTGCTGCAAGTCAAGAAAAAGAGGTAAGTTACATGAGCTTTCTGGGCAGGAATGTGGCTGCAGGCACAGCTGGAACAGAGCTCTAGAGCAAGAAGAGTGCCACTGTATTCTATCAACTGGCCCAAAAGAAGCTCTGTACCTACTAGAGTCAGACAAGGAATAGATTCATTTACATTATAAATTGCAGGCTCTTTTTAAGTGCAATACAAATAATAGTTACTGGTGATTTTTAAAAAATTTCTAGTGAGCTCTTAATATGTACCAATAATGTGAATAAGCACATAACCAGTATTCTCACTCAATAAATCCTAGAGAGTATGAACTACTACAATCTCCACTTTAATGTGAAGAAACTGAATTTTAGAGAAATCAGACAGTTTTTCAAAGGTCACTGAGTGAAGGAAATGAGAAAATTAATCAAATACCTACAGGCAGACTCCAAATCCTGCTCACACCTACCAAAAGGAAATACCTGCCATTGTCCAATGCATGAATCTCTCATTTCAGAATCTCCTTACCTTTCTATACTAACCTGTCGAGCACGTTCCATCGCTGCTTCACTCTCCCAGCCATAAGCATGTGTCCTGGAGTGTGGGTTCCCATAGCAGTTGACTAGATAAGGGAGCATGGCATCAAGCACCCGGGGGTCCTGACCACAAAAGACCAGTCAGACTACAATTACCTTAGACCCCACTCCCTATCCTCATAACAGCCCATTCTGCCTCAGCAAACTCCCAGTCGTTCAATCACTGCCTAGATTAGGCTTCACTCTTTCAGGTATTAACCAAATATCAGTCTGACTATTTCTACTCCCAACCCATCTTTAGTAGAGTTGCTCTAGCATCTCCTTCAGCAATCTATTAACACTCTTTCTATTCCTCCTAGGCAACGTGATCTATGGTGGATAGAGGACAAGACAGTTCACATATTGGTGAAAACTTACATTAATATTTAAGTGCTTATTATGCACCAGGTTCTAAGGACTACCTTTTTAAATCCACATGATACTTCAGTAAGTCCATATAGTTACTAAATACAGTTTAGCTACTTTCAGAGTCCATCTGTCTATAATGCTGCAATGAAGTGATCTGACCAACGTCAATGGCAGAGTCACTTCTAGTGCACTCTAACATATAATGACTGACTCCTGGCTTACTGCTTCCCCAGCACTGAGGACTCAGTGGGTCTCGCTAACACTAGGATCCAGCCCTTCTGTGCAGTGTCACTTCTACAATATAACTGCTATAAAAAGCACTGGGGCGATCCTTACCAGAGGAGTTGTAGCTTGCACATCCATATACAGAGGTCGCAGCACTGGCTCCTCCGGAGCAGTGGCTGTATCTGAGGGAGCAGCAGACTGTGGAGCATGGTCTACAACTGACAAAAAAAATGGAACAGGGTGGCCAGGTGAGAGAGGATGCAACTGTGGATATAGGTAGCAAAAAGTAAAAGGTGGACACAGATGAAGTTAATTTAGGGGACGCTGGGGTGGCATCCTAATGGAAAAGTAATCAAAGCCTCCAGAACTTGAGCAAACGAGTAAAAGGAGGCAAGGGAGAGTTCCTGAAGGGGGATGTTGATTGAATCGATAATCGATAATCAAGTTGTGATACTAGGAGTGCGGGGGCTGTAAAAGGGCAAGGCCAACCGAAAGGAATGTGGGGACAGACTAAGCAAGGTCTCCTTCAAGGGTTACAGGAGGCGTGACTGGCATTCTTTAGAAGATCTGAAGGCCAAGCCTCAAGGCTCAGTGGGTCGGCGGGACAGGATTTGAGAAAGGGGGCGCGGCGACGTCCACAAGGGGGCTTGAGGGGTGGAGTCAAGAGGAAAGGTCGGAGGGTCGGAGGAGGAAGCGGAAGAGGGGAGGGAGCCTCCGGGATACTCAGAGGCGCCGACTCGCCAAGGCGAGGGAGGTCGGCATCTCCTGAGAGGGCGGCGGCGAGCGGGCCGGGAGCGTACCGCGCAGGCGCAGCCCCCGAGTGGGCGCCGCGGATCTCAGCCCGGGAGCGGCGGGTACGGCCGCTGCCGCCCGCCTCCAAGCAGCTCGCAATAGCATGCTCCCGGCGGCAGCTTTCCCTGCCAGAAACGGTGGTTCTTGACCCCAGTCTGCCGGAAGTGCTACCCCGTGCTCCGGAAACGGTTCTGCGGGACGCGAACGCGCTCCGCCTTGCGTACCGCGTGAGACGTAGAGCTGAGCGACCGAGGCCGCGAGCGAGGTGAGGTAGGGGCGCCTCTGCGCCGGGACCCGAACGCGAACTGGGTGATGGAATCGTGCTCGGGTTTATTTACCTTCCAGGGTTTCCCCGAGCCCTTGGGCTCGCTCCCCACCCCGCCTTCTCCTGCCTCCGCCCGACTCGGGCTGGCGGCGAGGTCCCTTCTTCCCTAACCCTCGCACCCTACAGATGCCTGTGGCCGTGGGTCCCTACGGACAGTCCCAACCAAGCTGCTTCGACCGCGTGAAGATGGGCTTTGTGATGGGTTGCGCCGTGGGCATGGCAGCCGGGGCGCTGTTCGGCACCTTTTCCTGTCTAAGGTGAGGGGCGCGGGCGGTACCCTTGGGGCGGGACTACCGGACCTTCTCGCCCCGCTCCTTTGGGCCTGCAGCCTGAATAGAGCCTTTTGTCCAGTTCCCTCGCCATCCACTAATGATCCGCGCTGGTTTCCTAACCACTTACTACTGCGTAGGACAGTTTGGATGCCCAGTAGTTGATAATCTGAGCTGTGACTCAAACTGCTCTCTGGCCTTTCCTCACCCTGTTAACCTTAGGCTAGTTGGAGCCTGGGTTTTCTCAGGTGTAGAATGAGGTAATGCCTACCTTAAGAGTTTTACGGATCAAGTCAGAGCACACTTGGCACAGAATCCCGCACTTACTAAGTGCGTAATAAATGGCTATTACTATTGTCGCTGCTGGTTTTTCTACTTGCGTGTAGTGCAACAGATTTGTTGAGCAATATACTGTAATGGGACAAATGAAGTTGCCTCTACACCCTCGACGTCATTTTGATATGCAGTAGAGTACATTTTTCTAGGTTTCAAACTACCATTTACTCAGCACTTATTGTCAAGCACTGTACTAAACACCATTCATACTTGTGATCACAGTAATCCCATGACCATTATGAGCCCCATTTTCACTTGGCAAAGACTGTAATTGCTTTGTTTTAACATTAGGGAACCACCTAAGAGGACAAAGGTCTTTATGCAATCATATATACCCTGGAGATAAAACAAGCAACAAAACTGTTTTCTCAGTACACATATTTTGTCTTACAAAATCTGAAATCAAATGATAGAACAGTCAAGAATCTCACTAGAGACCTAAGAGCCTTTACCTTGTCATTATCCACCCCAGGTGGGAACATCTGATGTCCTAGATTTCAGGAGTGCTTGATTCATCATTGGAAACACACATAGGAAAGGGGGTAGTTAATACTCTTCCTTTTATGTTTCCTATTGGCCCCATCTTGGTTTCCTCCTCTTAGGATCGGAATGCGGGGTCGGGAGCTGATGGGCGGCATCGGGAAAACCATGATGCAGAGTGGCGGCACCTTTGGCACATTCATGGCCATCGGGATGGGCATCCGATGTTAATCAGGGCAGTTGCTGCCTACTACATCTAACCTCTCCCATAGCCCCAGCCCATATTCAATAAAACAAATCTTTGAATAGTCGAGTGTTAGAGGCATTTTTTTCCCCCTATGTTCTCTACCTATTTATCCAGTTTGGTTAGATTTTGCAGGTGGGCTGATCAGCGTTTCATAAAATCTGTTAATCCAAAGTAAAATAAGGACTGGAACTTTTTAATTCATTATTCAGCTGTTGATACTGTTATCACCATTGTGAGAGGTAAAATGAGGTCAAGTCTATACATTCTTTAAACGTAAGGACTAACAAAGCTAAGTCCTATTTCCAGTGTTGATTGTTGACCCAAAAAATTGTCCTGCATGGCTTTTTGCTGCATTCATTAGGGTAAAAGATACAGTTAGACTGAAAACGTGGCTTCCCAATCTCAGTTGCCAAACCAGATGAATTAAGTAGCCATCCAAGAGGATGTAAACTGTCCCCATAAATATTCTAGGCTTGAAGTAGTTTCTTGGGAACAAGTGCTCCTTAATCCAAAAAACTAAGAAAATGGCAATAATGTTATAACAAATTGGAGTATGGGGGTGGGGGAACATCATAGTCCACAGGTACACCCTTGCTCAGTGTCTGAACTTTGAATTTTTTCCTTCAGATTAAAAAAGTAACTGTAGATGTAACATCCATTTAAATAATAAGGAAATTGCCTCCAAATTAAAGGTTATCTTGCTATCTGAAAAAATCTTAAAAAATTTTCTACCCCAAATTAACTGGTCAAGAAATCAGTACTGGAAGATAATCAAGGGAAACATGACCACCCTAAGATTCAGAAATTATAAGGAGCTAAGCCATGTGGTGCAAAAGACCTCTCCTGATTTGCTCACTGCTCCCCTGTGTAGTGTATTTGAAGTCAATCCACCTATTCTCATTCCATCTGTGGACTGTACCCCAGTTCTTGTATACATAAATAAAGCAGAATTAACCTAGAGAATCAGAGTGTAAAGGTGGAGGCTTGCTACCAAACTTAAAGCTCAAAATTCCTTATTAAAAAAATGGTAATTTAGAAAACCAGTTCGAACTTAGTTTGCTCATTATTTAGTATCTTATGAAAAAATATCTTACAAAGATGCTGTCTGACCACACAATATCCTAAGAATGCCTAGGTTTAGAAACTGGGCTCATGTGGCTCTGTAATTTGACTAACACGTTTCAAAAATGAAGATTTCTTGTGGCCTTTTAAAGAGAATTTTATTTGAGTGGTTCTTACAAAGATTGTTGCAATATGAAAGTCATTTGTTTGATAGAAATATCAAGCTGTCTTGTCAAACACACTGAAGTAACCCAAAAATATATTTCAGAGCTCACAGAGCTTAAAAAGAGCAAAGATTATATGCAACCAGACAAAACCTATTTCCGCATTTCCTATCTCTTGCTCAGACCGTTTTGCTTACCAGACTGTCACTTAACATCTTGAGGAAATGCAGGGATCATTTTGTTTGGAATCTTCAGACACACCAGAACACATAATATTTACAAAGAAACTTTTACAGAATACATTAATTGAAAAGATACCATCAAGAAATATACTTTAAATCTTTTCTTGCCAACTGATCATAATGCAAAATGAGATGTTAAACAGCCCTTTAGCTGTCTTGAGTTTCCATACACTAAATGTGTATTCCAGAATCCTCTGCTAAACCATTAGCCAAATATCAGTATTAGTGAAATGTGAATTGTAACTGCTGTGTAAAAAGCTTCTGAAACATTAAAAACATTACATCCCTGTCTGCCTTTTTACATTAAGCACATTTGATCCCTCAGAGCTATTCCTATAGATCCTTAATGTAATTTTCTACATGTACATTTAAAAGGCAGAACAAGAGACAGCTTTGTATACAGTGGGATTTGCTAATTAGGGAGAATGAGCACACTGCATTCCTGTTAACATTTTTATTTTTCAAGGTAACAGGAATTGTATACAAATGACAGTAGACCCTTGCCTCTTTATTTTTATCTAAATAAAAGATAACTCAAGATGAATTCTCAAAGAAAAAAAGCTATATACATAAGGGACTATATCTTCCTTCATCGTCTACTTGGAACCAGTAGTTGTGTTGCTGTCATAGAGTCAGGGAAGAGGTTGTGATAAGTTGGAAGAGGTACATATGCTGCTGTTATCATTTTACCTGTTGAAAGAAAGAGAGAGGATGCTTTAGTTATCTTTGACTAGCTTTTCAAAACCTTAAAACAATTATTCAAATGAAAAAAAACATTAAACTCACCAGCAAACCATCTGCCATGCAATGCATTGACAGCAGCAATGGCTGCAGCAATTGATGGGCACTTGACATACACATTGCCCTAAAATATAACAGCAAAATATAAAGGCATTGTTATGTATTAACAATGATCCAAATAGGTTTATGCAAGTTTTAATTAGAAAGTTCAATGCTCTGTAACTAACCACATATTAACCAACCATTGGTTAATATGTACTAAAGTAGACACTCAGCCAACGACTGGTCTTAGAATCTTAAAACTAGAATATACATATTACTTTTAAGTAATTATCTGAGATATTTCCCCCATTGTTACAATAAAACAAAGGTCATTAAAGAATCCTGCTATACTCTGGACTTTTTTTTTTTCTTTAAGATTTATTTATGCATATAGAACTGGTATACAGGCCAGAGGTGCAGAGGCAATGAGAGGATTCACAGAGACAGAGTGGGCAGAACAAGCAGACTGACTTAGTACACTGCTGTGGGCAAGACAGAAGTCTGAGGTACCCTATGGATCATCTCCAGGGCTGGGGATCAAACTCGCACTGAAGCAGCTACATCTAGCTTCCTGTGCTGCGCTTTAACCCGCTGTACTACCAGGGAGAGTCTACATTTGGAATTTTACTGAAAATGGTCTCTCCTTCCATTTCTTTCCTTGTACTATTCCTTACTCTCATAGAAAGCTATTGAAGAAATGAACCTAACACACCAGGATTTAATGGATAGCTGAACACTAACCAATGACTTCTCAACAATAACCTATTTTAACCTCTAGTATCTGCAATGTGTCTTAAGTCAATATAGTAAAACTGCCTACCAGAGTTGGGTGGGTGAGAAAAAGAATTAACGCATTAAAATTTAACCTTTTTATATTCACTTCTCCCCTCAAGATAGCCCTGCCACCAAAGCACCCATGAATTATCAGCATGGTGAGGGAAACTTTGAAGAAGGAAGTTATTACTTTGTTAATACTTACCTGAGCTGAATTTTTGTCAACATAAATATGAATGACTCCTCCATGTTTATTACATTCTTCAATCACATCATCCTTAATCTCTGTGTCCCATCCAACTTCTTCTTCTCTACAATAAAGTATTAAAAACTTTCAGAAACTATTCAAACTTCTAAAACATCAGCTATACACACTCATGTATTTTTAACATATACTTTCAATGTAAAAAATACTATTGATGTCAGTGGAACAGGACATGTAAGAAAATAAAAATTAACATTTTATTTAAAATTAACACTTAAAAGGGTTTGTTCATTTAATACTTCATCAACTGTGTAGCACCACTTCCATAGACAAAGCAAATTAATTTAGTATTAAAAATAAAACAATTGATGAGATGGAAAAAATGTACAAAATGATGTAAAAATAAACTTTTGTAAAATAAAAAAGTTACTATGAGAAAATATGTAAAAAAAAAAAGCAATTGAAAATTGTCTACAGTAAGCTATGATATGAACAAAGACAAAATTGTATTCCCCTTTGAAGGTGAGCAAAACACCTTTACTTACGTTTGAGGGTTAAACATGTTAGAGAGTTGGAAACACTGTGTTGCAAGTGGTTGAACAGAGGCAGCTGCAGCTAAAGCTGAAGCTGAAAAAAAAAAAGAGACAAATTAGTTTCATGGAAAATGAACCAGAAAAACCCTGAACCCCCCCCCCAACTAAATGCAATGTGAAATGAGAGCAGTCATCAACTCATAAATTTAATGACGCTAACAGAAGTATTTAGTAAGTACCCCATTTTAGTTGCCAATAAATTAAGGCAACCTGATATTGGGTATAGCTGATCTAAAGTAAATTGGAGCTATATTTTTTAGAAGAAAAACCGAAATTTGCATGCAACCAAAACTTATCCATTAGAAAAATCAATACATAGCAAAGCACAAAAAGACCGACTGTGGGACTCCTGGAGTTTATACCCCAAGAAAAGCAAGATATTATTAAAATATAATTTTTTAAAATGCCCAATCTATATTGTATTATTTTGGCTTTTATCCATGAATATTTTAAAATATATATACTTAGGAGGATTAAATTTTAAGGCCAAAATGCACAAAAACAAACATTTTTACATACTAGGAACATAAATCCTATTACAAAGCAGGTTTTCTTTTAAAATGATTAGGACTGTCTTATAAAGAAGTACTGAAACAGAATGTCTAACATTCTTTTTTTAAAAAATAATGACTCAGCATTAAGTACTTAGCAACATTTGAATCCCCTACTGGTTTTATAAGTTTGAAGTTAGAGCATTTTACAAGACAGTCACTCCACTGCTTTAATGTGGTTGACAGAACTCACCGTAATCACAATATCTGACCAAATTTCATTCCAATACATAACAACAACAAACAAAGCTAAGGATAAAAGAGTAATTAGAAATTATAATTAAAGTGATCAATCACCTGAGAAAGCACCAGAAATAATCCAAGTGATTAAAACTTAGCGCTGTGCATGAAACACATCATAAAATGACTGTTGCTAACGGAATCAAGTGTCTTTTGCTTTTTAAACGTTTCTTCTTAAAGTTTTTTATTAAAATAGACAAACTAAAACAATTACCAAATGTCGAACTTTACTGGCGAAAAGTTAGATACATCTGTGGTTGTTTTACAATTAAGTACCTTATCATAAATGTGCTTGGATGGGAAAAGATACATTACAAAACAACTGAGGATTTTTCTATTTTCTCAAAATTATAATATACTAGAATCCTCACAAAGCATTAAGTGTGATACAAACATTCCTACATAAACTAGGCAAATAAAGACAACAAATAGGAAGATCTAATTTTTAAA